TAAAACTTTTCTGGAATTCCAATCTTGGAGTGTCGACTTTCTTAATGTTGGACCATGAACGGAAAAAGGTGGTCTTACCCACAGTCCCTCTCTTTCTCTATCTTTCTCTCCTCTGTTTCTGCCGGATGGGAGAGTGTTGGTTGGCTTGTGAATCTTACCCACTTCATTAAACAACCGGGTCGGTCTTAACCCTTAATGAAAATTGATAGCTTTTTCTCCAGCACTCTTCTCTCTTAAATCATGCGGAATGTTTTCTTCTGCTCTACTCCAGTTACTCTCAGAAAAAGCATAGACAACACATAACTGTGCATTTATCTCCAGTTTTGTATCCGCCACAGAGAGAGAGAGCTCGACTTTACATGATTCCAAACGAACCAGAAAATGCATAGGTGCGATGATTTTAGAATTAATAAATCCCATTTTGACATCATTTGAAAGAATTATCACAAAATTTGGGCAACATCATTACAAATTATTTGTATTTCTCCAAAGTGGGATAGAACGGGATAGGATTATCCCCATGAAAGAAGAGAGAGAGAGGCAGAGAATGGGAGAGAGAGAAAGCAAGGCAGCCCGTCACTGGTAATAAATGGATGGCTGAACAGACACACATTGCTTATTACTGTATCATTTATGGATGGAAAGAAGAAAATCACACACAATGATGAGTCGCCTTTCAAGGAAATATTGACTGGGAGTGAATGAATAGTCTTTTGTTTGGTCCGCCGTGCTTTTTGCACCATCGCGTCACCCAAACAGACAGACCACATTACGTTGACACATCGGAGGCCTCCTTTCATTCCCTCGAGACAATTTCCATTGACTTTAGTTTCGAAGCACTCAGGCTCAACAACAAAATCCAATCTGATGATATCTGTGGGTTGACATCTCTAAAAATCCGTTGTGGATTACCTATTGTGCAATAAAGATGTACCTTTCTTCGATGATGGTGGGGTGGATGGGACACCCTCCCAGGGCGATTGCACTACTTTGCTCATCCTCAACACGAGCCCCACCATGCATGCTCACTTGCTGGACGAGTACTCATAATGCATTTCACAGGTTTTATTGTCGAAAACAAGTGTCATTTGAATAAAATGCTTTTAATGCAGCACCACTGATTTAATATGAGTGGTGTTGACGGATGGGTGATCGTCATGTCATATGAAAAAGAAGAAACGTGAATCAATTTACGCCAATCTTTTACCACTGCTCATTTTTAATTCGAAGTTTGAGATCTCGCATGGTTAGAAAGATACACTTCACTCATAGAATTTATTGTTTGCTAATAAATGAATAATATGTAAGCTACTCATTCCAAGTCAACTGATTTAAATATTTGCTTTTTGATACTAATAAAAACTTTCAACGCCGAAATTATGTGTCCACTCAAAATATGCTTCAAGTGAATTTTCTCCTCTGGAGAAAGTAGTTATGAAATTAGAAATTATTCAATTGTAAAATCATGATGCAGATAAAGCCCAAGATGGCAATGACAGCATTTGCTCATTTCAGCTAAATCTGCCGCTAGAGCTTTCTCTTCCAGACCATGCAGCTGCTGGACGGAGAAGAATAAGGATCCCGAATTTCGTTAGTGTTTGTGTTGAGACAAGGAAGAAATAGGGAAATTCGTAGGAACCTGTCAGTCGACTAAATCAAGACGAATGCTCCAACACGAAAGTGCTTTTCTCGGTTGACTCCATTGGGATCTTTCCACCCGTTTCAACAAAGGCAGCCAACCAGGCACGAGATGCAGGAGGAGAAACAACACCACAGTTGAACTCCATGCCTTCGATATCCTCTTCATCTTCCCTGCACTTAGCGTATCACAAATAACCGTTTCTTTCATCCCCACATTTCCCCAACTTTCTCCATCTAAAAATCTACTCGAATTTTAAATGTGGCCAGACGAGCATTGTCCTTTGGCATTAAGTGGTAATGGACAACTTTTGGAGAGAAAGTTGGATGTGTGCACTTTAAAATTACAGTACGTATGTACCATGTGTAACCAACCCGTTTTATTCATGCATGTAAAACAAGGACAGATTATGTGCCCGAAAATTAATAGCAAATCAAGTGAACAAATTGGTTTAACGAACACGAAGTGAAAATTACAAGAATTCATTCCTTTCAACCGTAATTTTTTTTACTAAAAATCTGGCATCAAAGTAAGAATCCTCTGTGAACGGAGGTTCAAAGTCTGTTGATTATATACACAGAGGTCTAGTATTATTGTAGCCAGTTTTTGGAATGTGCTTTAGCAAGCAACGTCGGTGTGGGTCATTTTTGTCTGATTTTGTATTTCAGTACATACGCTGCTTTTGTCCTGCAATTGGATGAGGATTTGCTTGGAACATTTACGGAAGGCTTAAACGTCTGAAATATGAAGCTTTATGGGAAAATGCAATAACCTAAAGAGGCTTTTCAGGCTTCCGGTCACCCAAAATCGAACCAACGATCAACCGCTCATACAAATGACCATCTTCAACTTTTCTGTTCCATTTACGACACTTGCCTATTCCCCTTTATGGCCTCCAAATGGTGTCCTCTTAATCTACTTGATACCTACTTGCCCATCCGGTCACGTTGGAAAAGTGTCCAGACTACGCTGCGGCCACAATATGCTGCAAGGGGGCCGTGAAAAACTGCCGGTCGCATTTACCATTTTAGAGTCGAGGAACAAGGTCTGAACGTAATAAAAACGTGCAATGTCTGACGAAAAAATTCCTTGTTACTGTGTTCAATAATATTATTACTTATTGCATCAAGATATGTTAATCTTAATTTAAATATTGTACCTGATATGATTTGACATAAAAAAATCCAAACCTGTTAACCAAGAAATGCACAAAAATTACCATAACTTACAACTCAGAAACCTAATAACTAAACTCTTGACCCTCTTCACTACTCTTAGAGTACGAAAATTAATTTTTTTAAATATATAGGTTAAATTAAATTGGTATATAGCTTTTATCCTGAATCGCAGACTTAAATACGAGTGTCCACCACAACTATGCTACATGATGACTATCATAAAATGCATAAAATTTTGGTTATGTAAAGCAAAATACGGTAGCACGATCCGCAGGCCGCCTTTGTTGTATTTGGAAGCAAGAGACATCTGCTTTCTCCCGAGCAGAGTTTCCTCAACCACGGCGTTCTCAGTCGCTTTCACGACAAAAGGAGTCGGTGCGGTGGTATCATTGATATTTCGACTTTACCCATTTTCCTCGCATTATTATTTCAGTGATGTTCCATTTTAAATATGCCTTAGAATTTTGATACATGAAGAACTTGTTGCAATATATTTTAATTCCTTTAACAACGCTCAATAAGAACCTTCAAAAGTATATATTGCATTCATCATCAAAGCCGTAACTTATTGAGACAGAATTTAAAATGTAGTTTTAGCAAGGACAAGAAAGTGTTTGGGCCGTCTAGATAGTACCAGAAGAACTTGAAAGATGTAGAGTTTTCAGTGATCAATTGAATAATCAATGTAGTCCAGTTTTACTCAGGAATTTTTTAGTTGTACAAGCAACTTCATAGAACATGGTACCGATTTTATGTAGTATCTGGTTTCATGCAAAGTAATCACTGTTATGTCATGGCTCCGTAAAGATACGCTTAAAAAAATATATATATATGATTTGCAAAGCCTATACGTATATTCGTATAAGCAAGATTATGATTGGCTGAAGGATATTTGGATAGAAGAAAGTGGCTACTCTCACTCTCCGCAGGTTTGATTCATTCAGGGGAGGAAAAGATAAAGTCAGTTCACATTTGGTGCAATGTGGGTGGCATAAAATTACAGATTTCTCCCACTTCGGTAGTATGTTTCGCAGGGAAAGGTTTACGACTTAATTAAATGCGGTACAACCTTTCCTTGCCTAAAAGGGCACGAAAACTAGCAGAGTTGGGGACGAGAAGAAGAAATGGAAACCTTGAAGTTTGTGAATGTGAAAATTTCTTGAAGAAAACCGCAAAATGTCGACAGATTTACGGATTTGGTAAATCTCCAAACCTTGTTTTTATGTCTGTGTATTTTGAATGAACTTGAGAAGATTGGACGCATTAAGGGTTATAAAGAGTAGACCAGCCTCCCAAGTTGCTTTATATTTCTTGCAGTGCCCAATATATTATGTAATATATCACTGTAGTCTCACTTTCTCTCAGCTCGTATACTGTAAAACACATAAGTTTCTCTTTTGTTGAGTTCCACTAGCGGGTAGTGTTTATTAATGAGCAATTTCAGTGTAAGCAGATCAACATAATAAATAATTGGGCTAATTATACAGCTTCCACTTTCGGCGATGATGATCCTTTCTTTGTATAATTAATTTGTAAAAAATTCCAATTATTTACAATTATGCAGCTTATTTAGCTCGCATTTCAACAAAACGGAGATAATCGAAGAGGTTATTCAACCCATTCCCTCCAACTCTCTGATTTATTATTTCATGCCTTGATTAACTTCTGGGGATGTGCTCCCGGAATTTGAAATTGGACAAGATACACACGTTCGATGAGAAATTAGGTCCTTCCACTCTCGGTAAACGTGCCAGTGTTATTGAATTCGCCGTGTCTGTGACTGAGGTTCGAATAAATATCTAATTCTGCGGTTGGGCACATGAGCACTTGTCACATTGTCAAATTAATCTAATAAGCTCATACACGTGCCGGAGAAGCTGTCAATAGTATAGTTGCAAATGCATATACATTGTACTTGTATGTGTGTAGTCGGATGTTGAGCTGGTCCTCTCTGTCACCCAGACTTGCATTAAATACTTATGTATATATATCCAAGATATTTTGGCAGGAAGCTCTTCTTTTTTAGGGTTATGCGTGACATTCATTATTTACCCACAGTCCTGAATTTGATGCGACTTTTAGGTGTTATCGATGTGCATATATATATCAAGCCTTTATGAAACTCTTGGATTCTCCGACCAAGGCGAACCTGTAATACATATAAAAGTAAGTAGAAATTTCCCTCGTGTTTTTAATAAAATTTTATTCCACAATTTTGTTTATTCCTTATTAATTTAACTCTAATTATCCTAATTCTAACAAAACATTCTATAATAAGTAAGTATTACATATTTGCATGTATGTAATACACCAAATTAACACAAAGTATCCTTATTTGAACATTGAGTTTATATAATATGTTTTCATGGGTTTATGTTTTTTTAATGGATGGCCTATTCATACAAGAGTTACATACATATCGTTTAGTACATATTCTTAATTTATAGTCAATCATTTACTTGCACTAAAACGTGGTAGGCTTCATTATATGATCTAGTCATTATCTCATGCTTAACTTTTGATATAAAGTTTTACATTGTGTCCCATCCTGGTGGTTATACAAAATTGTGGAATTTTCATGATACGTACCAAGATTGCAATTATTCGAAGACATCAATGACAATCATACTCACATGTAGTTAATCATGTAATTAAAAATATAAACCAAAGTATACACTGTCATTTTCTAGTTAGTAGTAAGGTCCGAATTCATAAAGTGTGTGATTAATGCGAAATAAAATGTCAACCATAAACAATATGACTATACATGTATATTAACAAGTAATGTCGTTCTCAGCATTTGAAATACTGATTGTCTGTCAATCAATATTTAGTAGTAAATAATCACTTTATCATGTAAGTCAAAAAATTATTATTATTATGTGTTGCACAACCCACCTAATTAATTGCTAATTAAATATACGTGCTTCAAGGTTTAAGGGAAAGGTTTCTCTTGAGGGCATACATATAGCTATATTGGCATTTTAAAGTTACTTGTATTCTCGTAAACAAGTGTACTGTAGCTGGACTGGTTTTATTGAATATTGAATCACCTTTGTAGGAGTAGCGTTGCATGGGAAATGTCTGGGTTGGGTTCAATTAGATAGATACATAGATATTTATACAGAATACGCTTATAATATTTTTGCGCTGATTATTTTATTGTATTGTATTGGGGGAGCTACAATTGGTCTAATTCTACCCGTGTGCACACAATTTGGGCTCCTGTTGATGAATGAATTGCTTCTTTCTGCACCATCTTCGTCTCATCATCGTCTCCAAATCCCCCTTAAAATACTTGATCAACAACAAATGAAAGAATATGGATTTATCTATGCGTACGATATTGATATAATAGTCTCTACATTTTACATTGAAACATTACAAAATATGTTTTTTTGTCGTCTACCTACAAATATCTTAGTTGGATGAAATTTCTCATCTGCAACACTCCAAGGAGAGGACAAAGTCTTGGGTACAAAGGGTAGTAGCTATTCTAAACAGGTGAAGGGAAGCGTATAACAACAAGTATTCAAATAATCGAAGATTTGTCACGCTAGAAGAACTTCGGTTTCCTCGCTGAAGTCTCTCCGCTGGATGTTCTCCTGGAAAATTCAACAATTTCCAACAATTATTAGGCATTCCAAGAACAATCATAAACCGGCGTGACAGCGTGACTGCACCCATACAGTAAGTAAATATGTAGCATATGAGTGATGCCGGAAATGTGAACCTTGTATCAAATATATGATTCAACACACCTGAAATGACGTGAACCATTATAGATGCAGAAACATCTAAAAATCCTTTGCACGTGTACTGACCCATGTGGTTTGGTCTGACCTTGACGATTGTGAGCTGCGATCGGAGAACATCACTTTTCTGGGTAACGATTTGTATGCTTCCGCTTACAGCTTCGCCGTACCTACATTTATGAATAAAGATTTTATACCTGATCTACTTACTACAAACATAAGACACAGTGTACTTACATTCCCTGCGGGTCAATTATCGTCGATCCGTGGTACCTACATAAAAAGTCACATTAACACAAGAACAATAAAATCTTTTCGCAAGGGTTTCGTGGTGGGTTTGACACTTTTGAAAATAATAATTCAACACACTGAATGACTGAATATGAATCCATAAATATCAATAAGCAACATTTCGTACCACTGAGCAATGTCGTGAGGACTGTGTTCAATCTCACACGTCAGTCGAAGGGAGCTTCCTGCAATGAAATTCGTAAAGTTTAAAATACTACATATCGTCATCTAATTACAGTTAAACAGTTATTGTTATTGATTGGACATCCTTCACTCGGTTTGAAATTTGCAAATCGAGTTACCCAGCATTGCAATTTGTAATGATGAGTTTGTGCTACATTGTGTTTGAGAAGGTGTGGCGTATATAAAATAGTTGACAAAAGTGCGTGTAAATTACCGCTCTGTACATGGATGTCACTGCCGCCAATTATTCGGGCACGGGACTCTGAAAGAATAGTAAAACAAAGATCAAATCTTTTCATGCGGAAATCTCATTTATGAAATCATTCGCTTCATTCAGCAGAAAGTACGTTAAACGTAAACTTTTCCTTGCACCAACCAACCTCCAGCCAGCCAGCTCGCTTGTATTTCTTGGAGAAATTCAACTTTCTCGCCTACTTTCACGCAGGCAGAACAAAAGTGAAATCTCATTTCGAATACTACAAGTTGAGCCAAGATTCAAGCACAGAGAGGAAAGTAAATCCTTTAAGAAGCAAAGCCAACCACTAATAAGAGTAATAACTAGACGCAATATAAGAGGGACTGATTTTGCTCCAAGAAGTTGAGGTTATTATTAGAGTGATAAACCCGTGAGTATTCATCACGTGCCGAATTAATGCACTTCTTTCCCTTGCTCTGGGCAGAAATGAAAAGTACAGAATATCTGCGGACATGTATGAAACCAAGTCTGGTTCATTATTAGGAGCGAGAAAGTTTTATCTTCCACAAGCAGCTGAGCAATTCTTTTGACTAAAGTGTAATTTTTAGTTTAGTATTTAGATTTAGAATGCCATCGAGGAGCAGAATGAGGCCAAATAGGCATGGCCGCTACATGTGCGAAATTTTAGTGGAGACCACGGCTTTCCCTACCAACTAATCAGCATATACTAAACGCATGTACGTAATGTATGTACATACATATGTACATATAACGTGTGATACACAAGTAAGGACTGATGCAGCATAGTTTGGAGACAACTTGAAAGTGTGCTCTCAAGTCTTTAATGAAATTGATGATCCATCAAACAAGAAAATCCCTCCGGTGTCGCGAACTTCAGTATTGACATCAACTTACAGAAGTACAATCTTCTTAACCTCTCTTCTTCTGCGAATTATTTCAATAATACTTCCAAGCGCCGTTCATCATGTAGATTAATTGCATGTGAGTTAATAAGCTTGTCTGTCGCCGACAGATTTGACTTGGTTGGAGACTTTGCTATTAAAAAGAAACTACATACATACATATGTTACAAGATAAATATTTCAATCTATTTAAATACAACGTGGTCGGTGGTATACTGTCTTCCCATAAAAATAGTTTAATGCAGGACATCATTAAAGTTGAAGTTAATTTAATGTTTTGTGAGGTATAAAAGTAAATGAGAAATGTTTAGTACTTTCCATCCTGTCCTCTCACCTATATTCCGTGTAATTATGTACAATCCTCGTCCCACCATGAATCACACTGGCAGCCTTTGCTATTTATGTACCACGTCTTTGCAAGCTCTGACTTATTGAAAAACTTTTATTTCCACTCCTCTCGAGACTCGATTAAAAAGAGACGATTTGTCTCTTATTATTTTCAAGGACGTGCCCTTTTCTTAATTTAGAATTTCAATATCAGCCCAAAGTTGTAAAACATGCAAGGCTGACAACAATATGGATCCACAATTCCTAGTCTCGAGTCAAAAAGTGAAAAAGAGAGGAAAAACCATATGACAGGACTCACAAGATAATAATCAAAACTATTGTAAAGTCGAGTATGTGTTATAACCATAGGAAAAATCATCACATTCTGGCTGGCGACGTTTCTTTTCTGTTTGGATTTGTTTCGACTCATTGCACATTTCGGCTGAGTGAATCAGAATTTTGGAGAATCGGCATCAGCTCTCACAATGCACTTTTCAAAGTGGCTTATATTCCTGCACCCCCGTAATTTTATGTGTGGAAGAACGAATGGTATTGAATAAAACAATGCGATCCAGTACTCCTTGTTATTTTTGGTGCTTCTAGGTATTTTCCTACTACCCAATCTCATCTATCTGTAAAAGTATTGCAGTGCTGGCTGAATGAGCACACAACTCGACTGAACCGACAGAATCTGCTCTGGATCCATTGAATTCATTGTAGCCAAGATGAGGCGAGCTTGACATGGGACAAGGAAATTTATTTGGCAAGTGATTCGTTCCCGTTCGTTTCAGTTTCCAGCGTATGTAGCACGGATGAATCACTGGACGAGCTTGGTTGGTCGTTACAAGTATGAGGTTGCCATGTTCGGGATAGTCGCACGCGGTCCGAAGTTATCTCGCTAACCCACCCCCACAGTTTTTTATACTTATTTTCACTCCCTTTTAAAACTCGCTTCTTGGCAAACAAAACAGTCCTTTTAGTCTCGGTTCCTGGTTGTGTACGTGGTTTTATTCCCAACACCTCCCAATTTGAATAATATTCACTCACAAGGCGACTCTGGTTTAAGCATAGTGACACCAATCGTGCATTATTATGGCTAATATAGTACCTATTAAGCTAGAAGTCAAGAATAGGTTAGAGAAAATAAAATAAAATTCCATACCAATAACATTAAGATGAAACGCCATACTAAATTTCGGTTCCGTGTTAACCTGCAACGATCAAGAAAGTATTTATAAACATTTAACTTCTAGAATAATTTAAGTACTTTATTACTTTACATGCATTTTAGAATATTTTCAAATATGCATGTGTTTGTAGGAACGTAAATAACTTGACTTTCACTTTGACTTTATAAAGTAAATCAACATATACTATAAATTGGGTAAATTTATCTAAAAAAAGAATCAGAATCTAATCTTAATTAGTTATAATTGCACCATAAGATATTAGAATTGGCTGTACCTGACACTCGTAAGTCCCCTGGTCCCTTAGCTAAGCAAGATAACGTCAGTTTATTAACACATTTGCATACACAAAATCATATATTCTAACAAGATGGTAATAAATTTGGTAATAACTTACCTGCACACTGCGGATACAGAGTGTCCAATTTTCCGATTTTTCAGGATGATGAAGTACCACAAACCGCTGATCTGATGTGTATGTGTACACTCCAGCTGAGAGAATATGCAGGTCACGTTTTCGGACCCAGGACACCTATAACCAAAAACCAAACAAGTGTTTCACATCAACGGGTACGCCAGCGTTTCAATATTTAACAGTGCGTGGGCGTCTGTCTGTGTGATGTGAGGAGGTTTCATGTGTACTAAAATCGCTTTACGTCTCAGGACGCTACGGACTAACGTCGGGTTCGGGCACAATCACCCACTCGATTTCAACCTAAATAAATAATTATTCGCTTCAAATAGAGAAAGGTACATCATTGAAGTACAGTTGTACACTTAGGTTGTGATATAAATACGCGTACATACTTATATTTAATTTACCTTTCGTATGATTGTCTCTGTGATCATTTTACGGGACATTTATCGCAGCTCAAAAGCTAATTTAAATTATACGGATGGTCTTCTCGACTTTCACCAGTGAAAGTAATTCAATTTCCACTTCGGACTTTTCAAATACTGGTCATGCACATATGATAACGTGGCAGTTCTGCAAATTGTGGGTCTCAATATTAGTTATCGCGCTAATGTCTACATTGAACGTTGTCATGATTTACGACAAAGATTTCTCACATGACCATATTGACCAAAACTATTTGGTTTCATGAGTTAATGTTGATGGGCCTTGGGTAGAGCAATTATTATTGGGCGAGGAATCCATTTAATTGATTTTCCTCTGCTGACACATTCGACAGATCAGTAGCCAACCAGAATCATCACCGCTCTTCTGCCACCTTTATCATTCATTAGTGACTAACTTCGCAAAAAGACAGAAATGAGGAATTTTTATTGAACCACTAAATCATAGACATAACACGTCGAAGGTTGTCTGACTGGTGTTTCCTGATGACGTACATCCTTTGATGGTTTTTGTATCAGTTTCTCATTGTTCTCATTTGCACTACGTATGTAGATAGATATATAGCACAACGTCGCAACCTAGGTATATGTACACACCACTGTTTGATAACATGTAAATAAAATATGTATGTGTGTACATACATAAAAGATTGCAAAAGTTTCCATATATTAATTTTAACGAGGAAACGAAACCAAGTGTGAATTGTCGCATTATAAAAATGAAAGAAATCAAAGCAAAAGATGTGACACCGTACATGGTGCATATTACAAGCAGGCGTGAACGCATATGTAATCCCTGAGGTGTTGCGGTGTTGTTTCAAAGTGTGACACCAACCAGGGTCCCAGTCAAGCTTGAAATATTCAGATTTGCCCCGAGATATCTCCCGAACAGACACATGACATAACTCATCATATCTTTCAAGACATTGAACACAATGAATATTCAATAAAGGTTTCACACTTTTCCCGCACATGCAAGCACACACACCCTCCTCGCCAAAACACAACTCACTGATTTGAGTCAAGCTCACAAAATTTCTATGCCGCAGCATTATATTCTCGAAGGGGGGTTTTTTGGCAGAAAGCACGCATCTACTCAGACTACTAAATGTTACCTATACTCTTGATGATGACACTGATTTTGCTTTCTGTCCCTGCTTTCTACAGTGCTCCAGAGTTTGCTTAGCTCCCTACGATATGCTGGCACATTTGATGAAGGGACCAGGAAAATGGGAGGCGAGAACATATTTATTGTTTTGCGAAATGTGAAATCCCGTTTTATGACTTGGATTTCGGATTAAATCCACACTTTTTGCCTGGCAATGTCTAGGACACACTGCTGAACATGAACACGCTGCTGACGATGCTGCTCACGGTGCGTGGTAAAAGTGAACAACTCAATTCACCGGCTCGTCTCTCGATTTCTGGATCATCTTTTATTTCCCAAACATGAAATTCCCAATTGAATCGTTGTCTATTAGGCTTTCACTCGTCCATTCAGCTCTGTAGCATCCCACCATAAACCCGAGCTTGGCTTTTGTGCCGCACTATTTCATCTTGCTTCCCCTGTCAAAATGGGACTTATGTGAATCATTCACTGGCTTGGCAGCAGTAACATTTAATAATGATGATACGAAGCACGGAAATGGCAGCAAGTTATAGCTTGAAATTGTCACCTGTGAACATGTCAACCCGCAGTAGAAAACCACTCGTCAACAGTGAAGTGAAGTCGTTTCTCTTTTAAATAATAAATGTGAAAGATCAATCCACGTCAAATTAAATAAATCAACTAGATATAATCGAGCCTGTATAATCGTAATTGATTGGACGCTATTTTTTGCCATCAAACGGTTATCTATTTCCTAGAGGAGTATCTATATTTTGTCGGCAAATGGGGCACAGCAAAGAGATTACCTTGGAACTGTTGATTTACTAAGCTTCAGAAGTATATATGAATACATACGCCAATTAGGGCAAGATTAAACCATTTAATAAGACATCCGTAAGACTGCAATGGTCTTCATTTTCAATATCCTGTCAAACGTACGCTCTCGAAATCTAGTGAAGCAACATGAGCTAAATATCATCTTAGAAGTCCAAATTCCTTTTTCCAATTTATGGTAATAAGATAAAAAGTACGAAATTCGTACTACGAATGAGAAATTAAAGGTTCACCATACATATGCAAATGAGTTAGGCGAAGTCAATATTTGAGCATGAGTCGCAATTTAACATCAACGTATCATAAATTGGGGTCTTAACGTCACAACATTGTACTAATAATAACTACGTCAATTATTATCCTAGATATGTACCTACGAAGTTTTGTGCAAGTCAAAATCGTCGTAATACATATGTGTAGCTTTTTATCCTTGTAGCAAGCAATACCTATTTGAAAGCTAGATGAAAGCTGAATAAGGCTGAATATAAAACTGCTAATTTTCATGTATCAAGAAAAATACACTTGATCGATGATATAATAATTCAATCCATACTAATACTACTAAATAATAATAATGCAAGAAGGTTGACAAATTCTTAGAAAATTATAAAGGATTGTGCGAATTATTTATTTTGCACACCAAGGTGTGCGTAACAAATGAAATAAATTGAGCAAAACTAGGCCAACAAAATCAGGATTGCTACACACGTATTCATAATGTTCTGTATACAACACGGAAGTAAAGGAGCCACATCAGCAAATTTTCTCAAGTTATGTGCAGTTCGGTGCCTATGCGTAGTAAATAAGTTTCAAGTTTTCTTACAAAATTTGCAATACGAATGGACTCCTTTCTTGTATTTGCAGAAGTAAAGAGGAACATTGTTAAATTATTGAACAAGGGACTTCATTAGTTTAGTCAAGTTTTTCAGTGCTCAGTGCCGGCATCCAAGAAACTGTCGGCGACCAACATGAATATTTTTTCCGCAGACGAAAGTGAAATAAAAAACAAAAGAATCCATCATAATAAACGACGTACCCAAGAGTCCTGTGCTCCTCCATTCCAAATGCCAGTCCATACAATATCGATTCAATAACTTTTTGAGTTGCTCGCTCGTACTGCGTCTTAGATATAATCCATCGTCGTTGTCTTACCAGAAGAAGTAAATGAGTTGTCAGGGTCCATTATAACTTTTTTTAGAGTACAAGCTGATGCTGAGCTCAGCCACCAACAAACTTTCTTACAGTGTCGGAACGTGTTCGAGTTTTGTCCACAAATTGCCATGTAAATGGTGGTGACAGCTGCGTTGGTAGCGAGCGTCTACCAACCTTTATCCACTTCCAGGAAACATGTTATTATGACATCAGATCTGCACCTCTGCAGTTCAAGTGAGACACGATATACTTGCTGATTTAATTTCCCTCAATTTTCAGATACAATACAAACTAGTTAAAAGACTGGGTAATATAGAAAAGGTCGAGTTTGCCGTTATTTTCAAACACATTTTAAATAATACACGTGCCTACTCTGCGTGATTAGATGTATCGTCAAATGTCACACGTGTTTTGTGGAATATAGGAAAATCATACTTGTCTAAATACGTAACGCATAAGAGGATCAATTAAGGCGGCTTCCTTCATCGTTATTATGATGTGCATTATTAGCAGTCTTGTTAGTTTCCCAATTATGTAAAACATGTATGTAAAATATCATTTTTTCAAAGACGATGCCAATATACTTTGAGTGATTGAGAGAATTAATTGATGAATTTGAGCAAATATAGAATAATGACAACATGCAACTTGAGTGTAATATCCCATTTAATAGCGTATTTCATTTCAATAAATTGTTACTATTGCCTTGCCACATATGTATAAACTCATAGAATCAGAAATGAGGATTTGATAAATGGGCCACAAATTGGAGTCGACTATTGTCCATTGAGACGCAATTTTCTGAGTGAAAGCAACAATTCAGTACTAAAGATCAACTCAACCTCTCTGCCACTTATACAGACGCCCTTGCTTGTTAAAATTCTCCAAAAGTTGAATTTGTTAGCAGTCTATCTCCTTCCACTGTCAACCATGCACCAACAAAGTCAAAACTTTTGCAATGTTTCCGCAAATCCTGTAGAATTTCCATGGGTCTGCGTGGTCACCAAAACCTGCAGCTTGTGGGTTGTACACTACTCCTCTCCACTACTGTACATATCTCCATGCATATATTTATACGGTCTCGATACAAATATATGAACATTGTACGTGTGCCACTGCTGTGTGAGTTGTTGGAAAATGAATCCATTCATTTGCTGAGCAAGAAGTTAAACTTTTGTGATGTTGTGCTAGGACTGTGGGGAGACTTATGTGTGAGGAGTGGGGAGGAGGAGAGCAACAAAGGGTGGACGAAGCAGACCATGCAGAGCGCACACTGCTTTTCCAGCTAACTCACCAAATCTCTGAAAATGAGCACTTACTTTGGCAACTTTGGCGCACTGAGTCTGATATATGAAATGGTCATAATATTTCCTTCATGGCGGAGACGGGGGAGGGAAGCAAGTTCTTAATGCTCTAACTCAGCAGGAATATTGCTCCTATTATCTTCCCATTAGACGTCCTGACTGCTGCTGTCTCAGAAACCGGAACGAGCGGAAGATCCGGCAAGACGCTTCCCCTCGCTCTCCTTGTTCTTCTTGTCCCCAGTTTACGAACCGAGACCAAAATTCAACCATCAAATCTGCGTACTTGTTCCCTTCCACTTTCCAAATAAACGAAACTGAAGAGGTTGCGCCCCACACTTTTCTGCACTGTTTTGTTTCGCTTCATGGCGATATTAAGCCTCTGCGTGAAAGGAAGCCCATTATTCCATTGTGCTTTTCCATTCGTATTGTACTTTTACGTAGCAACGCGTGGGCAATATTAGTTCTAACCTGATTCCGGTGGACAATGTTAAATAAAACTGTCATCAAGAAGTAGTTATGGCTCAGAGGTGACATTTTATTGTCTTAACGGCAAGTTATTTAGGTCAAACTTACTCTGATCTCTCGGATTGATTTCTCCAAGGCATGCTACACACTTATTTCTTCCCTACACACCCAATAACAATTTCTCTCTCTTCTTTTATCTGCCTTCCTCCACCTCATTCTCTCCCACTTTCACTCTCTCTCTCTCTTTCCCACGTAATGATTCCGAGAGCTGGGAGACCAGTGCACTCCTGCTCGACATCCTTTCCTTGGGTATAAGCCCAGCGATTCTGTCTCCTTCCCTTAACGAAGGTACTTTATTTATTCCCAGTTTCGGGATCGCTGGAATCGCAGTTTGGACGGAATTAAGACGTACTTGGAGTGAACCTGGACAGCCATTTCTCTGACGGGAACTCCCTCATGGTCGAATGAACATTGGACCCAATAACTTAGTACAGACACGAAACCATATAATAATACAGATACCGTACGCATATAGCCCACCATGGTCGCAGGCTGAGCACATTTATATAACCGGCACTGTACACATATACCAGTACGAAATGGATGTACATGAACGGGAAGAGTGGACGTCGTTGCTGCAAGACATACCATTAATATGATTTCACCACTCCCATGTCGTTGTCAACCCCGCTACCTGTTTTCGATTGCCAGATTGAATTATTCTACAGGTATTACATGGCTGGTAAAAATCTTTACTGGAATGGACAACGACTCACGGCTTCTCTCTGCCATTACTTTTTCTCTCATTCAATTGGGCTGCTCATCTTCAAGAATAGCTTTATTTGTCACGAAGCAGAAGACAGCCACTCTTCTGTAAAGTTAGAAATACGCCTTGCTCCTGCAGATTCTCGAGTTCCTAATCCGAGTGCGAAGTCCCAATGCACACAGCGGGAGTGCAGTCAAGGAACTACAAAATATAAAGTGATACGCATTTCACTCTCGGCGAACTAAGGGTCGAAGAGAGTGAATAATTGATTCTTTAATCTTTGACTTTTCCAACATTCCAAACCAAAACGATTCCTTGTTAATGAATTCCATGCGTTCACTACGTTCGGAGTACGTGAGAGAAAATAAGTGTCAACTGATTCTATTTTTGACGTTTAATCTTTCCCCTTTTCTCCTGCAGTGCACGACACACAAGTGTCATTCCAGAGAAACTCGTCGTCGTTTCACATTTACCCGGAGGGAATATTTTAGAATTGTAATGAAGTGTAAATTTAATTTTACGAGCAGACAATAGCATCTCAAGAATAAGTAATGAGCAGAGTGTTTTGCTGCAAGTGTGATTCTATCCATGTTGTACTGACAATTGCGACTGCATAAATGGGGGGTTTATAATATTTTGGCTAAGCTTTTTTGTCGCCTCAGCATTGTGCCGATTACAAGCATTAGTATGGTCTTGTTAGATGCAGAAATACCGAAAACATAAGGAATTTACGAGAGGACAATGTATATTTAGATTAAAGTGTGCATCATTTAAAAATCTAATTAGGTATAAACATTTAAATACGTACGCATATGATATAAAACTAAAAAACTTTGCTTATCTCCCGACGATATTTTGCACATACTAATACAGATATAAATACATATCTGGATACTTTACACACGTGCCCGTTTGCGTGACTTTCTCCACCTGATGTTATTCTTCTCATGTCAACAATATCCTTGGTAAGTAGGTAAATTTAACACATGGGCACAAATGAATTCTTTGGACGGATCTTCAAGGTTTATAAATAGTACGAAATTCAACCTTTCAAACTCCAA